ATAATTCGAAAGACAGACAGTAAAAGTATTGGTGAGGGCCTGGAGAAACTGGAACCTTTGTTCAATGCTGATGGGATTGTACTGTGGTACAGCCACTGGAAAATGGTTTAGTAGTTTTTCAAAATGTTCAAAATGTTTGCACTTCAAAGGACATTATCAAAGTGAAAGGACTACTTAGAGAATGGGGAAATAGTTGCAAATTATATTGGTGGTAATGGATGTATGTCCAGAATACATAAACAAATGCTTCCTGCTCAGCAGAATGCCTACCCATATATCCTGTGCCTGTGCTCCTGGGCCACTGTCACCATCTGTCACTAGCCCAGAGGCCTCTGGCTCCAAGGAAGTGAAGGGCGGAAGGAGGGGCCAGCAGTGTGTGGAGGGGGAGGCAGCAGGCAGGGGCAGGCCCAGCCAATCAGGGCCACAATTTGTAGCTAGAAGGGTTGCAGAACAGACAGCTCCCTGGGGACACGATGGGCTTCATGGCTGTCCCGTGCAGATGGAAAGGGGAAGCCAGGACGAGGGCCGTGGAGAGCAGCCCAGGGCGCTGGAGCTCCAGCACTTGGCCTTGAGGGGCACCACGGTTCTTTCGAAGGCTCCGTCCTCCAGCTGTGTTGATGCTGTCCCCCGGGAGGGGAGATTGCAGATGGCAGCTGCTCGTCTTTCAGCCAGTCACAGGGTCTGATGACCATCAAGGACTGGTCACTGTGCTTCCCTCAGGAGGAGCGGCGGAGTCTGAATCTTTTCAGCCTTTTCTGGGGAATATGGCATGCAGGAGCAGTGTGGGATAGCGATCTCACCAAGATTTCCAATTCCTAAATGGACTTGCTTCCTCAATTACAAGAAAGGGGAGGACCGTGGGTCCATGACACCTAGGACTTAGAGAGGCACATCCCTATGGTCACATAGGCGATGACCCTAAGAAACCTCTGAACAGGATACAGAATCTCCCAGGATGAATCTAGCGAGTCCAAAGATCCTGTTCTTTGGAACTCCGAGTAGAATAAGAACTGGGATTCCATGCCCCGGGATCCCAAGGAATGCTCCTGGGCCTTTTCTTTGGGACAGTAGCTTCTCACCCCCTCTGTGGAGTACAGAACCCCTGTTCCGACCACACACCTGCTCCCAACATGAGAAACAATTTGTGTGCAGCTCCCAACTTGCCAGGCCCCACAGCTGCCTGGGGTGTGAGAACTGTGGGTCAAGACGTCGCCTGATTCACCACCAAAAACCTACCTCCGTG